AACTGTACCTCATGGTGATTCATTAAAAATAAATAAATAGATAGATAGATATAAAAACCTATCTGAGAAAAGAAATAAATGGGGGGCAGAGAGCTAGCACAGGGGCTTAGGGACTTGCCCTGAACACTGCCAACGCCAGTTTGATTCCCTGATAATATCTCTTCAAGTGTGACGATCGATTCCAATCATCTGAGGGTTTGGGGTACATTCAAGCCTATCAAAATGCCATCTTCAGAGTCTCTTTGAATCAAAACAAGGTAGAAGTTTCCAGAGTCATGAAACATGGTCGAGGATTATTACCAACAATCCCTTCAAACGCTGGGCAGGAGGACAGTAGGTCAGCTGTTTGCCTTGTATGTGGCCAGCCCAGGTACCACGAATGGTCCCTCGAGTTCACCAAGAGTAAGCCCGGAGCATCACCAGGCATGAGCCCCCCTCCAAGAAAAAAAAGTCAGAGGGTCCGAACAGGGAGAGCATTCCCTGAGGACACGCTTCCTGTGGGAGGCCAGGATCCATCGCGGCACACCACTGTCCTCCAGGCACCTTCAGGATCAACCCTCAAGCACAGACCCAGGAGGAGCCTGGCACATCACGGGTGTGGACCCCAACATGAATGCATTAAATTAATAAATCATAAAATGAAAAGTAGAAGCCAGAGGTATAGTACAGGGAAGAAGGCAAGCGCTAGTCTTGCATGCAGATGACCTGGGTTCTATTCCTGGCACCACACATGGTTCTCCAAACCCCATCAGGAGTGAGCCCTGAGTGCAGAGCAAGACGGAAGCCCTGAGCACAGCCTGATGTGACTCCACACCCAAATAATAATATAAAACATTGCACTGTAGAACTGTTCATCTATTTGCTCGAGCGGGCCCAGTAATGTTTTCATTGTGCGACTTGGTACTGTGTTCAGCATATTGAATACACCACGGGGAGCTTGCCAGGCTTTGCCATGCAGGCGAGATACTCTCGGTAGCTTACTGTCTCCAAGAGGGGCGGAGCAATGAGAACAACAGCAACAAAAAACAACCCATCCCATCAAAAAATGGGGAGAGGAGATGACACTTTCTCAAAGAAGACAGACAGACGACCGTAAGCATTTGAAAAAGTGTGCACTATCACTGACAACCAGGGAGATGCAAATCAAAAGGGTGATGAGACCCCATCTCGCACCTGGGAGAATGGGACAGATCAAGAAACCCTGGAAAGGTATGAGCTGGTCGTGACGGGGCGACTAAAACCTCATGGGAAGAGGGGCGTTCCCAGCTCGTCCACGCCCTACCGAGGTCACGACTTGCCCCCCACGAGCGGCTCTCCAGCACGGCCATGACTCCAGAAGCACAAGGACTTAATGCAGAGCCCAGCAGCTTGCAGCAGAAAAGTGAACGGACTATGCATTAACCCACGCCACCATGTCTGCCCGGAGGGGAAAGGGTGTTGGTCCCTTCTGCCTTCTTCCCTCTGGAAAGAAAGATGGTAGCTGCTTGGGAGCTTTGTGGAAAGCCAGGTATGAGCCGCTGGTGATGGGGTGACTAAAACCTCACGGGAAGGGGAGGCGTTCCCAGCTCGTCCTTCACGCCCTACCGAGGTCACCAGTTGCCCCCCACGAGCGTTTCTCCGGCAGGGCCATGGCTCCAGAGCACAGAAACCAATCTCTTAATTATCTGACTCTCAGTAGAAATACTTCCAGGGTTAACAAGTAAAGTAGCAGAAATCCAAAACCACGCAGCATCATTTAATTCTTGAACCTAGCTGTAGAAAGCGAATCATTTCACAATGCCTCTTCAGCATGTCTGATTTGGGGGTGTAAACTCTACATAATAATGGTGCATCTTTTATCGAAACAATGAATCTAGTCAAAGTAGATAGAGTGTTAACTAGAATTCATCTGCCTCACAGGCATTGGGAGGGGTGGGGGTGGGGGTTGATTGGGGTTCTTCGTGGTGAAAAATAAGTATTGGTAAAGGGAAATGTGTTTGATACTTGCATGACCGAGATCTAAACCTGAAAGCTTTGTAACTTTTCCCACAGTGATTCAATAAAAAAAAAAAAAACTCTGGAAAAAAACCTGTGTTGGCCAAGATGAGCCTAGTGCAGCCTCTACAAAAAACAGTAGAGCAAGTCTGCAAAAAAAAAAAAAAATCACAGACTAGATCTCCCACGTGATCCAGAAATCCCACCGCTTGGCTTCTATCCCCGGAACACAGAGACATTCATTCGAAAAGATACATGCTCACCAAAGTTCACTGTGGCACTATTCACAAAAGCTGGCCCCAGGAAACGACCCCGGGTCCAACGACAGATGATGGACAAATAATGGTGGTGTCTACACACAATGGAACTCTACTCAGCTACAAGGAGAGATCAAGGCTTGCCTTGTGCTACCATTTGTATGGAACTCGAGGGGGGTCAGGTTAAACAAAATAAGTCAGAAGGAGCCACATCAATACTGGATGAGTCTGCCCATGTGTGGTTTATAAAGAACCACAGCAAGGGAATGGACACAAGGGAAACACCAGCATGGAAAGAAAACCAACTCTTAGACTCTGACAACAAAATTGAGGTTACAAGATGGGGGGAGGGGGACAAGGAGAAGGAGGTTTCGGGGGCGTGGGGGGGAGGGGCCGATCAGAAGCATATACATACAATAGCAGAAGGTCTTAGGAACAAAAGAAGAGGGTGGGAACAATAAATCTGTACACCAAAAGCACGAATAATGACAGGATCTGTCACTGTCCTCCCACTGTTCATCGATTTGCCTGAGCAGGCCCAGTAACGTCTCCATTTTCTTTGAGACTTGTTACTGTGTTTGGCATATTGTTGCATCACGGGTAGCTCACCAGGCTTTGCCTTGTGGCCAAGATACTCTCGGTAGCTTGCTGGGCTCTCCGAGAGGGGCAGAGGAATCAACCCTGCTTGGCCGGGCTGGCTGTGCGCAAGGCAAACGCCCTACCGCTACCGTAAAATTTTGATAATATAAGACATTAACAAAAAATAAAATTTATTAGGGAAATAAAGCATCCCTGTGTGCCCTTTCTGCTTCTCTGCTCAAGACAGTTGACAGTGCCACCGCCCAGCCTGAACTCTCTTGGAATCACGTCTCTGGTTCCCCTGACCTGGGGTCCCCGAGGCTCACTGTCTCCCTGGGGCCAGAGATGATGGCACTTGTTTTGTGGCAAAAGCTCAACTCCGTCTCGATCCCATCCTATGTTCTGGATCTCCACCTGGAGGGTCTCAGCAAAGAGCAAGCGGCCTCCCACCCCCATCCCAATGTCCTCCGAGCTCGAGGTATGCAGGAGATACCAGGCGGTCGCTGCTTGGCCATGAAGGCTGGAAAGGCACGTCGGACCCCTGAAGTCCCTTAGTAGGTAATGTCCTGACATGAGGAAGACCCCTGTACAGTCACCTTTCCTACGAGAGACAAACCCTTTTCTTTTCTTTTAATTGAATCACCATGAGATACACAGAGAGTTTTTCATGGTTAGGTTTTAGTCTTTCAGTCATACAGTGCTCCAACACCCGTCCCTGCACCAGTGCCCATTTCCATTTCCCTTCTGCCAGCTGGACCCCACCCGCCCCCGCCCCGGCAAAGCTGGTCTCTATGGCACACAATTTTCCTCTCTCTCTCTCTCTCTCTCTCTCTCTCTCTCTCTCTCTCTCTCTCATTATGGTTTGCAATACAGGTACTGAAAGGTCACCATGTCTGTATCGCTTTACCACTTTCCAGCACTCAGTTCTTGTCCAGAGTGATCATTTCCAGTTATCATTGCCATAGTGGTCTCTTCTCTGTACTGTCTCCCCTGCCACCTCACCACTTATAAGCCCTTTTCTTCACACACACACACACGCACACGCACAATCACAATCACAATCACAATTGGACACTTCTTACAATTATGCTTGCCCTCTTGGCTGTAGTTGCCATCACTGCCGCGTCCTGGGGTCACACGCATGTTGAGGAGGTAGGATCCAATTGCCCAATATTTGGCAATATAGCCAGGATGGCATCAGAGATGGGGCCGTGTTGGGGATCAAACTCTTTGACTCATGCCTGCAAGACCGTAGCCCCACATCCCTGGCCTCCAGGAAGTTCGTTCCTTAACAAGCTGCTCTTTCTCCAGTGCCTGCACCACTTCCTATGGCTCCATCTCGCCCATCCGGATCCTTTACCTCCACTCCTCCTTGTCTTCCGTTTCCTCTCCTCCACCCAGCACCAACTTTCCTTTCCCTTCTCCCTGCTCATGGTGAAGGCATTCTTTTCTTTTTTCCTTTCTTTTGGTTTTTGGGTTCAAAGCCAGTGGCGCACAGGGTTCCTCCTGGCTCTGTGCTCAGAGATCTCTTCTGAAGGTGCTGGAGAACCATATGAGGCATCCGGCTCAAACAGGGGTCGGCTCCACCTGCAAGGCAAGTGCCTCAGCCCCTGACTGTCTCTCCAGCCCAGCGGTTTTCTTACATGGAAGATAGAACTGGACAAGCCAGTTGGGAAAAGCTTATCATTTCTTTCTTTATTTGTGCTAATCCGATCACTCCAGATAAGGAAGGAGACAAAACCCCAAGTCACAGGTACAGAGATGGAAACATCGATCAATTAAAAAAAGAAGAGAGCTTTGAATATGTTGCTCAAAAAAACTTCCTGCAGGCTGAATATCAGCCCCTCGGGGTCTGATTTCCATAGGGAGGGATCCATGGCTGGTGAGGGTGACCTTTAGCGGCAGGTCCGGAGAAAGACAGGGACACACACGAGAGCTGATTTGGGTGGAAGGACCCTCGTGACCCCCTGGTTTATGCAGAGCAAGAGGAGCATGAGTGCGGAATACTTCTTAATTCGGGCAGGGGTCTGGTCAGCTTAAAGGCACAGGCGTCCTAAGTGCTCTTTGCTCCTGTCCTGTCTCTGGCTAATAACAAGGCTCGCCTCGGTGCTGGTGGATGATTAACAGGGGTTATTGGTCTCCATGGCAAAAAATGATCTGAGTGTAATCTCATTGACAGAGGGGGAAAAAAAAGAAAACGGACTTCAGGTCAGAGAGGGTATATAAATGTCCATGCTGCGGCCCCGCCTGACTCGAGACGCGCCTGTGTGTCCCCTGCCTTCCACGCTCACCGCTGCAGACAGGGGATTGACCGGTCACTCCTGGGACACCCTGGTCAAGGGGGCCTGAAGTCACCTCGTGAAGGAGGCCAGGGAGGCGCTTGGATCTCAGATCTTTCCCACCCGCCCCAACATGTGCACGGGCTCCTGTGCCAAGTGCCTGGGCTGGGCCCTCATCCCCCTGGCCGTGGGCGGCTTCCTGGCAAACGTCCTCCTGTTCTTCCCGGGAGGAAAGGCGCTGGACAATAAGGACCACCTGTCCGATGAGGTCTGGTACTTCGGAGGCATCTTGGGGAGTGGGGTGCTGGTGAGTATGTGGACCCCTTGGGTTCCCCACCCCACCCTTTGGAACCCCACAGCTCCCGAGGTGGGAGAGAGCGTTTGGGGGTTCTTTCGCCCACGGTCCTTCCCAGTCCGATCCCGGGCACCCCACAGGGTCCCTTGAGCCCCGCCAGGTGTGATGCCTGAGCACAGAGCCAGGAGTCAGCCCTGAGCACCTCCAGGTGTGCGTGCACCCCTCGCCCAACCCTCACAGTGGCATGATTTTAAATGACCTTATGCATGGGCGGAAAGTCAGTGGCGAGGCCCAGCATTGCATCACCCGAGCCTGTCCCTTCCCGGACAAGGTCATGTCTGCCCCCGGCCTCAGCCCGGCGCCTCGCTCACGTCCACCCCTACCTTGCGTGGTATGGAGCCACCTAAGTGCTTCCTCTGACAGACAGAGCGGGGGGGGGGGGGGGGGCAGAGTCGCCCTCCCCGAGCCCCAGTGCCCAGGGGCCTCCGCGGGGCCAGTCCCCCCGCCAGCACCCTGGCGGCCTGGTGCACCCCCGTCATCTCCTCGGAAGCTCCGGCAGTGGGGCTGGGTGGAGGTGGAGGGAGACCCCATCTCAGGCCAAGGTCAGGTCGCCTCCCCGCAGCCCGCTGCCCCCTCCCTGCCCCCTCTGCCCCCTCCTGCCCTGAGCTGCTTCTCTGTGGGCAGATGATCTTCCCGGCACTGGTCTTCCTGGGTCTGAAGAACAATGACTGCTGTGGCTGCTGCGGGAACGAGAGCTGCGGGAAGCGCTTCGCGGTGAGTGTGCGGGTGCTCGAGCCCCCAGGGGGGCAGGGAGGCTGCCCCCAGGCACTCTGGGCCCCTAGGGGTGCGAGAGGCTGCCCCTAGGCCCACGGCACCTTCAGGTGGGGCAACAAGCCAGGAGCCAGTCTGGCAGGGCTCTGGGGCAGCCTGGCGGGGTCCAGGTGGGCTTTGTTTTGCTCTGTTTGGGGGCCACCCCTGGAGGTGCTCAGGCTTCCTCCTGGCTGACTCCCAGCGGGCTTCAGGGAGACCCCAGGGGGCTGTCGGGAATAGAAGAGCCAAGGCCCTTCCCGCTGCGCCCTCGCTCCCACTGGCCGGGACTCTCACTGGCATTGTGTCTGGAAAGAAGGGGGTCTTCACTTGGGTCCTACTTAGGGGCCTGGCTGTCAAGGCCCCGTCCAGGGGGACGCAGAGCTGAGGGCTGCCGGGGCGTGTAAACCAGCGTGTCGCTCAGCCTCTACTGGCTGTGGCCCCTTCCAGCCTCATTTCACTCCTGAGACCCCTCATCTGGGCCATGATCCCCACCTCCCCGTGTACACAATTTCCCAGGTGGGACGCATGGAATGAACAGGGAGGCACACACACACCCCTAGGTGAGAAACGCTGGTGTGTGTGTGTCGTGGGGGGGGGGGTGCTTCTACTTCCGTACTTCCTTGGACACCCAAATGCCCTGTGACCCCAATCATTGACCTCTCTGGCCTCCCCAAGGCCTCACCCGAACAGGACAGCTGAGGGAGGGCAAGGGGGACCCCAGGGTGTCCACTCCACCCTCCCCACTCTCAGCCGCTCTGGCTTCGGGCTTCCCTTTTCTTCTTTTGGGGAGGGGGGTCACACCCGGCGTTACACAGGGCTTACTCCTGGCTCTGCACTCAGGAATCACTCCTGGAGGTGCTCAGGGGACCACGTGGGATGCTGGGAATTGAACCCGGGTCGGCTGCGTGCAAGGCAAACGCCCTCCCCTCTGTGCTATCGCTCCAGCCCCGGGCTTCCCTTTCCCTGGAGGGAGCCACGGGCTGGCCTCCCCAACGGGGAGCAGGTGAGCAGGAGGAACGGGGCCAAGAGGGGCCAGGAGGCCAGGCAGCTGGCCACCCGCACCTCCAGCCTCCGCCCGCCCGGGAGACACAGCAGCCAGGGGCGAAGGAGCCCCCAAGTTGGGAACGAGCCAGAATCTTCCAGAAGGTGGAAATTTCAGACCCGCTTTTTGGGTCAGCTCTGCACTGTGAAAGGCCTCAGGAAGGATCTTGGGTGCAGAAGACTCAGTCCCGCTCTTCCCGGGGGACAGGAAGCGTTTCCCTTTCCGCGCGGGGTGAGGCACTGAGGACACGCGGGCGTTGGGCGTGCAGCTCTTCACTTCCAGATGCTGAGAGAATAGAATCGGGTGGGGGCTCAGAGGAAGGGGGATGGGAGCCACTGAGGCTGGGGACCAGCCGCCGGCTGCCCGTGTCCCCGAGGCTTGCTTGTCCACCAGTGACCCGACCCTTGCGGCGAGCCTGAGCTGCCTCCTCATCCCGGTGGGCAGTTGGCGCCACGCCCGGTGCCTGTGCCATGGGGCCAGGCTGGACAGAGGGCAATGCCACCTCCCCCAGGGTCTGGGACCCCACCCCACCGCAGAGGGACGGGCTGGCATCTGGCATCGGCCTTTTCTTTATCAGTCCCCACCCTGAAAGCCTGGAGGAGTCCACACCGGATATGGGGCCCGGGAGGAGCGGGGCACACCCAGCACTTGGTCAAGGTCACTGCGCCCAGGGGCCCTGGAGGGGCGCAGGGGCTGGGAACTGAACTGGGGCCACAGTCGGCCACACGCAAGGCAAGCGCTGACCCACTGGGATGACCACTCGGGCCCGTAAAATTGCAGTTGTTGGGTTTTTTTCTTCCAAAAAAAGGTTGGAAATGAATCTAGGCTCTTTTCCTCTTCCTTCCTTCCTTCCTTCCTTCCTTCCTTCCTTCCTTCCTTCCTTCCTTCCTTCATTGCTCTCTCCCTTTTTTCTTCCTTTCTCTCTTTCTTTCTTTCTTTCTTTCTTTCTTTCTTTCTTTCTTTCTTTCTCTCTCCCCTTCTTTCTCCCTTTCTCTCTCTCTTTGTCTCTTCCTCTCCATACCTTTTTCCCTCCCTTCCCTTCTTCCTTTTTTCCTTTTTTTCCACAGTCTTTCCTCTTTTCCTCCTTCCTTCTTTCCTTCTGCGCTTTCCTTTCCCGTCTTCCTTCCTTTCTTCTTTCCAGTCCCCTCCTGCCTCTGTCCTCTGTCTCCGTCTCTGATTCTCTGTTTGTCTCTCTGTCTCTCTCAGTCTCTCTCTCTGTCTGTCTGTCTGTCTGTCTCTCTGCTCCCCACTGGTGCTTGTCCTAATTCTGTAGACGGCAAGGCTTGATGCTGGGGTGTGCTGGAGCCAGAGCCTCCAGTGCCACACCCGATGGAGCCTGTGCCTTCTCTCCCACCCACGCCCTCTAGTTCCGGTGGTCAGAGGTCAATGGCGGTCAGCGCCCCCCCCCCCTAGACAGCAGGCCCTGCTCCCCCCAAGCCCAGCAAGGTGGCGAGTCTGGTCCCTTCAGCCCTAAGGGGAAATGGCCCGAGCACTCAGACTCCCGAGCCCAGCCCGGTCCTGACGCAAGGCCCTGCGGTTTTCCTTTCATCCCACCCCAGCGCCTCCTCCATCAGGCTGGCTGGACACGTAGCAGAGGCAGCAGGTGGAACCTGAGAGGGACAGAGATGTGGACGCAGAAAAGAGAGGGGACGTTGCTTCCAACCAGGGAGGGAGAGAGAGGACGAGAGCGAGAGAGAAAGCAAGAGAGAGAGTGTTGTGTGTATGTGTGTGTGTGCGTGTGTGTAAGCTGTGCACTTTGAGATGGCTCTTTGTGTGATTTTGAATACTTGGGTTTTGGGGGGCGGTGTGGGGGTGCACCCAGAAGCGCTCAGAGAGCAGGGGAAGCCGAGATGGAAGCGGGGCCCAGCGCCTTGGGTCGGCACCCAATTTCCCCAGCTGATCCGCATGTTTGCTTATGACGGCGGGGCACGGGACGGGATGGGGGGGGGGTCTTCCCAAACAGTGCTCAGGGACCACAAGGTGAGTCAGGCACGTGTGTCTCCGGCCGGCCTGCTGGCTTGGATCCCGTCCCTCCTGGTTGCGGGAGGAACGAGGAAGGCCGATAAAAACATCGAAACTGATAAGGACATCCACCGGAGCCTGCCAGTGTCGTGGGAACTCCGCGGGACTGGGGAGAGGCAGAGAGGCCGGGGTGCTTGGGCCCAAGTCCGGCGGCTCCTCAGGCAGGGTGGACTGGCCTTCTGCACGCGGAGGAAGCCTGCAGCAAGGGGAGGAGGCGCGGCTCAGACCTCGCATACCCACACACACACACTCGCACACTCACACCCACACACACTCGCACACTCACACCCACACACACTCGCACCCACACCCAGGCCTGTCCGTGCTCAGCGATGCCGGCTCTCCTTCCTCCCTGCTGGGCGAAGCGGCTCCTCCCAGGCCGCCGGGTCCATGGCTCTTGTCTTCGCTGCGTGGGGCCATACCCGGTGCTCGGGGCTTCCCTGGCTCCTGGTGGGCTCAGAGGGCCCTGGAAGCCGGGCTCGAACCTGGCTAGGCCGTGGCAAGGCGAACGGCTGCGCTCCGCACAGTCTCGCCTGCTCCTGTTCCCGGTTCTCGTGACTCGGGGACGCATCGGGGGCTCAGGTCTCCCCCCTCAGGAGTTCTGTTTGCTTCCTTCGCTTTACTGTCGCTGCTGCTGCTTTGGCCACTTTTGCTCTTTCCTCTGGCTTGCAGTTGAGAGAACCGAGGCACGTGCTTGGATACACACACACGCTCACACATACACTCGATCACACACACTCACACACAGTCACATTCACACCCATACAGTCACGCGCACACACATTCACAACACACGTACACACACACTGACAGTCACCCATATTCACACACACTCACACACAATCTCACACTCACACACTCACTCACATTCGTTCAAACACACTCACACACTTACACACTCACACGTTCACACACACTCACACTCACACAGCCACACACTCACATACACTCACACACAAACACACACGCGCACACACGGCAGGTGCTCTGCCAGGGAGCCCACCCCTCACCCATGAGGCGACCTCAAGAACACTTCTCTTTGTTTCTGTCCTGGGGGCACACTCGCAGGACTCGGGGGCTCCCCTGACTCGGTGGGGGCCGGGGTTGTTCCCCATTTGGTGCCGGGACCGAGCAAACCCAGGACCCCCGTCAGCGTCACTCGCTCCCTGCAGCCCCCCGCAGGCTGACTTTCCCTGAGATATGCAGTCGCAGGAGCCCTGGAGAAATTGGAATTATCCAGGCCAGTGCCACCAACTGGAGCATGAGGCCTCTGGCCTCGAACCCAGGGTGCTGCCTGTTCAGTCGGGGTTCCTAGAAACCTCCCGCGCATGACTGAGTTTCATGGTGCTCCCCGCGAGGCTGCTGGGAGAGGTGCTCCCGGGGAACATGGGTCCTGGGCAGCCCCGCCGTCTGCTAAGCACCGTCCCATCTCCCGCTTGGCTGGCTTTCCTCTCAGATGTGCCCGAACAGGCCGGGTCTGCGCCTGGGCTCTCGCACGGCCTGGGAGGACCGGGCGGGTCCAAACCCTTTCCCCAGCTCCTCCGTGCACCACACTTCCCACAGCCCAGCCAGCGGGTGTTGAAAGCTTGGCCGGTTTGGGCTGATGGAAGCTTCTAGGACCAGCCACCCCTTCTTCTGCTGAGCAGGGAGCTGAGGCCAGAGATTGGCCCCCAGGATGCGGCAGTGGGCGCAGCCCGAGTGTCCTGGGCCAACTCCACAGTCTCCTCGAGGCTCTTCATTGGTTCCCGACAAACTGTCAGAAGGCCAGGGCAGGGGGCCACAGTCAGAGACTAAGCTCGCCCCACCGGGCACTCCCTGTTCCCCCTCCTCCTCTCCCCCCCTAAACTTTCCTGCTTTCTCAAAAAACAAGCACAAAAGGTCGGGTAAGCGGAGGGGGCTCTTCCCTCTGAGGCTTTATTCCAGTGAGAGAAACAACGTCTCGGAGGGAGATCGGCAATAACGGCATCTAGCGGCAGTGCGTCTGCGTGTGTGCATGTCTGTGCGCGTATATGTGAGTGTATGTGTGTGTGCATTTGTGTATGTGTGCATGTGTGTCTGTGCGTGTTTGTGTGTACTGAACAGCACGTTAGCTAGCGTGTGCGGGACTATCAGAGGTGGGGAAGTAACCAGATCAGCCCGAGCTGAGAACTGGAGCAGCGTCTCGGACATGTGTTCTCATGAGAACCACGGGGAAGAGATGTTGGTACCCCGGGGCGAGAAAGTAGCAAATCACCACCTACTCCCAAGCATAAGGCAGAGCTGAGCACAAAGAATTTTTTCTTCCACAAAGAAGATCCGAGAAAAGCTCCTTGGGGAGCGGGATGTGGCTTAGCAGTAGAGCACTTGCCTGTGTCTGTGCGATTCTTGGTTCTATTTCCAGGGAGGGAGGGAGGGAGCGCGGGAGGGAGGGAGGGAGGGAGGGAGGGAGGGAGGGAGGAAGGAAGGAAGGAAGGAAGGAAGGAAGGAAGGAAGGAAGGAAGATGAGAGGGAGGGAGGGAGGGAAAGGAAGGAAGAAGGAAGGTGGGAGGGAGGGAGGGAGGGAGGGAGGAAGAGACACGCAGGGGCAGCCCGCACAATCAGAGCAGAAAGCATTTGGGGCGGGACTTCCAAGCAATGCCCCAGGGCTGACCAGCTGGTGGACCCGTAGGGCATGAGAACTCAGAGCTACTTGGACCCTGAGGTGCCCGAGACCACCAGGGACCCCCCCCCCCCAGCAGTGGGAGAGGCCCCTGACATCCCCAGTGGGGAATCAGGGGTTTCTTTCTCCCCTGCCTCAGACCAAAGCACACTTCAACACATGATTTTATTCTTAGCATTAAAAAATTGTTCTGGGGGAGGGTTTGGCCACACCTGATGATGCTCAGAAGCTTCCTCCTGGTCCTGCACTTGGTGATCCCTCCTGGTGCAACTCAGGGGGTGCTGGGGATGGAACTGGGATGGACTCCATCCGAGGCAAGAGCTTTACCTGCGGTACTAACTCTCCTGCTCTCTAGGCATTTTATTAATAACCCACGGCCAACATACCAGCAAATCCCAGCTAGTCTGTAGAAAAAGCCTATTTGACTTGAACATCTATGCCTGTTCGTACGCAGTTTAAAAACCACCCCGTGGGGGACAGGAGAGACAGGATGGCAGGGAAGGTGCCCAGCCTCGCCTATACCCAGTCTGGGTTTGCTCCCCGGTACCCCATTGCCCCTTCAGGACTGGCCCCTGAGCACAGAGACAGAGTCAGCCCTGAGCACGGTTGGGCGCACCCTCGCCCTAAATGGCATGGGGTGGTCTACAGGCTAGAGCACTTGCCTTGCATGCAGGTGGTCCGAGTTCCATTCCCAGCACCCCATAGTGTGCCCCGAGCACACCAGGCGTGACCCCTGAGCATCAAACCAATGTTAGCCCCTGAGCACCTCGGGGTGTGGCCCCCCCAAATCAACAAATTATACCCAGGAGGGCTGAAGAGATGTTTCCTTGGGCTGGAATGTGTGCTTGGCACTCAGACCCCACCCTGCACCCCCTGTCCCCCAGCACCCGTGGGTAGGACCCTAGTAGCACCCCCTCACCTCAGAATCAGCAACTCTGCGACCTCTCCCCAAGCACTGCTAGGGAGCCACTAACCCCACCAAAAAAAAAAAAAACCCAAACACTCAGGATGGACCATAACACTGTCCAGTTCCCTTTGAAAACACTTTGTTCTAACGCACCCACCAGCAGCACCCCGAGTTAAAACCGGGTCTCCCAACAAATCTCACCACAGCCCGCCCTCGGGTGACCTCTAGGCAGGCAGGCTGCGCACAGGGGCCCCCAGAGGCCCGCGGACTCTACCAAGCGGCCCCTGTCCACCTCGGCCCTTCGGGCAGAGGGACCGGCGTGCAGAGCGTCAGCGGCGCGTCTCTTCGCTTGCAGATGCTCTCCTCCACCCTGTTCGCTGTGACCGGCTTCCTGGGCGCTGGATACTCCTTCGCCGTCTCCGCCGTGGGCATCAACAGGGGCCCACGGTGCCTCCTGCAGGACAACAGCTGGGGCTACCCCTTCAGCGGCGGGTGAGTGCTGCAACGCCCGCGGCCGCCGCTCGGGGGCGCACGGCTCCCCGCTGCAGGCCCAGCCCGGACCGGGCGCCCCACGGGGTCTCCGCAGACGGGGCCCCCCCGGCGCGCTCGGGGCGCGGGGCCCGGAGGGCGGTCGGCAGGCGGGCGCTGGCGCGGACCTGCTGAAGGTCGCACCCGCTCCCACCCTCGCCGGGGCGCCTTTTCGTGCGCTCGGGTTTGCGGCCGCCCTGGTGGTCTGGGGGAGGGAGCCCCAAGGAGCACTCCGGGGGGTTCGACGGCAGGGCCTGGGGGTGTGGCCCTGCAGTGCTCGGGAGCACCCCGCCCCCAGCAGTGCTCGGAGGGCTCCAAGGCCGCGTGCAGTGGTGCTCCGAGGACCACGTGGTGGGGGGCCAGACGGGTCAGCAGCACGCGGGCGAGCGCCTCGCCCTGGTCTCTCTGGACCCCCACCCAGAGGCGCCGGGGGTCGCCCGAGGGCGCTCTGGGGCGGGCGGGGCCGCGAGGGCGTCGGAGCGGCGCTGCAAGCAGAGCCCCCGCCCCCGGCCCGCGCGCGGGGCTGCCCGATCCTTCCCGCCTTCCCGCAGCCGCTTCCGCCAACGCCCCCGGCCCGTCGCTGCCCCCGCCCCGCCGCCCCGGGGCGACACGCGCCGTCCACACGTCCACGCCTCGCCTCCGCCGAGCCCTTCGCGAGCCGTCCGCCAGGGGGCGCGCTCCAGGCGCCGCGCTCGACACCTGCGTCCGCGGGCTCGGGGCGGGGCTGCTCCGGCCGGGCTCGCGCTCGCCGGTCCGCGGCGCCTGCCAGCTCGGACCTCGCGCCGGCCGGCGGGCGCCCCCTCCCGGCCCCGTCCGGCCTGGCTGCGGGTGCCGGGGCGGGCCAGGGCCGGGGGACGCGGCCCCTGCCCGGGGTCCAGCCCCAGCCCCGCCCCCGAGCGGTCCGACGAGCAGACCCGCGACTCGGCGGCACCGAGGGGCGCGCGGAGGCCGGCGCGGAGGAGGCGCCCGGGGCACCCGGCAGCCGCCCCCCGCCGGTCCCCGAGCTGCCCTCGCGGCCGCGGAGGCCTCCGGGGTGGGGCCGGGGTTCGCGGCGGGGACGCTTCGGGGTCCGGGCCGGGCCGGACGCGCCAGGCCAGCCCTGCCGCGCCTCGCCAGCTCGCACCGGGGGGCGCTGGGCCCGCCGCCGCGCGGACCCGGGCCCTTCTGCTCGCGGCGGGAGCCGGGGAAGGGCTGCATCCTCCTCCTCCTCCTCCTCCTCCTCCTCCTCCTCCTCCTCCTCCTCCTCCTCCTCCTCCTCCTCCTCCTCCTCCTCCTCCTCCTCCTCCTCCTCGCGACCCCCGGAGGGTGCAGATAGCACGGCCTGAAGAGCCTTCGGTGGCCTCCGAGCGACCGGGGTCTTCTGCGTCGGGAGCCCCCGTCTGGCTTTCCCCGTTGGGGCAGTTGCTGTTCCTTGACGCCGTCACTGCATTGCAGGGTGAACCGCCGTCCCCCTGGGCGTAGGAGGGTCGCCACGGCCCCCCAGTTCCAGCTCCTTGCCCCCACGCCCCCACCAGCCCTGCGCCCCGCAGTCGGCGGAGATGCTGGGGTGCCGGAGGGTTCCGCCCGTTGGCTGCAGGCCCCAGACGGACCCTCCTCTGGACCTCTCTCCCCTCGCCCACAGGGACTACCTCACTGACAAGAACTTGTGGAAACTGTGCCAGGGACCTCAGGACATCATCCCCTGGAACCTGACCCTCTTCTCCATCCTGCTGGTCATCGGGGGCGTCCAGATGTTCCTCTGCGCCATCCAGGTGGTCAATGGCCTCCTGGGCACCCTGTGTGGAGACTGTGGCTGTTGCGGCTGCTGCGGGGTGAGTTGGCACTTTGTCCCTCGCTTCTGCGTGGGAGGGGGCTGCGGGCACGGGAGGAGGGTCTGCAGGGGGGGGGTCTGTCCGCATGGGAGGGGTCTGTCTCTCTGGGAGGGGGCTGCTGGAGGGGGCCCTGGGCAGCAGGGTGCAAGGGCCCCGGGGAGGCGGGCAGCACAGCCCCAGGGGCTGAACAGAACCGGCTGTTTCCTCCCTCGAGGAGCCTCCGGGCCCAGGAAGGCGGCTGCCTGCGACAGACCGACAGACCGACAGCTAGGCGAGAACACAGCATGGCAGGAGATAAAACTGAGGAGGAAACAGATGAGCAGGAAGTAGGAAAATAGTGATAGGGGCACATAAATGGACACACACACACACACACACACACACACACACACTGCCCTGGAAAGAGCTGAGCGGTGGATGGCGGTTCCCAGTCAGAACAGGGGCACCCGGTGGCCAGGACAGCCCATGGGTGCTGCTGTCTGCCCCTCACCTCTTCTGGACCTCGGGGTGGGGGGTGCCTTTCACAACTGTCCTGAGCCCCCACCCCTGGGCCCTGCAGAACAGGGTCCCACTCCAGAGGCAGATTCCCGCTGCCACGTGGGGAAGGGAGTGGCTGGAAAACTGGGGTCCGTCCCCGGCGTCCAGGTCCCAAGAGAGGACAGTGGGTAGAGCCCTTGCCTGGCAGATGGCAGACCCAGGTTCCATCTCTGACACTGTATGGTCCCCTGGGCGCAACCAGGACTGATTCCTAAGAACAGAGCCAGGAGTCAGCCCTGAGCACAGAGCCGGGAGTGATCCCTGAGCACAGAGCCAGAAGTCAGCCCCGAGCAGGAGCCAGGAGTCAGCCCCGAGCACAGAGCCAGGAGTCAGCCCCGAGCACAGAGCCAGGAGTGACCCTGAGCACAGAGCCAGGAGTGACCCTGAGCACAGAGCCAGGAGTGAGCCCTGAGCACTGCCAGGTGTGACCCCCAAACCAAACAATTAAGTTCCCAAACAGAGCTGCCTGTCTCGGCAGTTTGCTCCTGAGAGTAATGGCCGAGGAGGGACGTGTCCAGGAAGAAGAGGGCGGGGAGGGAGAGTCGGGACACATCTTAACGCGTGACCTTTCTACCCTCCAGGGAGATGGACCCGTTTAAGCCACAAACAGCTGCCCAGGGGCTGGTGCGCCCTCCTCTGGGGCTGCCGGCGAGGCCAGTGGGAGGCCGGACTCTCCTTCTCCTGCCCAAGGCGTTCAGCGACACTAACGTCCTGTTCCTTTCCAGTAAAAAACAAAAATAGTGTGGTCACGTAGGCAGAAACGGCTAAGACTCTGTGGGATGAGCTTCTGTTTAGAAACGAAGAGCAGAGGTTTCAGCAAACTTCCTTGTGTTTCCCTCCGAGCGGGAAGACTCCCGGTCACATGTATCTGTGCCTCTTTGTAAATAAAGATGTTTATATCTTTGCGAGTTCTACCTAACACGGGGAAAGAAAGCACATTAAAAGTGAGAAACTGAGGCCTGCGTTTTGTTTCTGGTATTCATGATGTGTGTGTGGGGGGGGGGTGCTTCTGAGGGTGTATCATGCATCACTGATGTGCTGTGTCTTGGTGAAACACCATGGTATTCCTTGTGGCCGAGTTTGGGCCCTGCCGTCATTCGTCAAAACTCCCCTAGGGTGCCACGGTTCGAGGTGGTGTCATCAGAAGGACGGGGAGCGGCACTGAGAGATGGGACAGGGTTCGGGTGCTGGCTCACCTTGCATGAGCTGAGCCTGGCTTGGTCCCCTGAGCTCTACCGGGCGGATTACTGAGCACAGAGCCAGGAAAAAGCCGAGTGCTACCAGGCGCGGCCCCAAGCCCCCTTCAAAAGTGTATGTGTGGGGCTGGAACCATAGCACAGCACGTAGGGTGTTTGTCTTGCACAAACAGCCCGGGTTCGATCCCCAGCATCCCATATGGTCCCTTGGGCACCGCCAGGAGTGATTCCTGAGTGCAGAGCCAGGAGTAACCCCTGTGCATCGCCGGGTGTGACCCAAAAACCAAAAAACCAAACAGGGGAAAAAAGAGTGTGTGCATTGAGAGAGGTAACAAATTGAACAGGACTGGGGATGGGCACAGCACTCGCTCTGCGTGTGTGAGGTTCTGGGTTCAATTCCCGGCATCGCCAGAATAACTAACCGATAGGAGTAAGGTCGAGTGAATCATGGGGTGGACGAGTGGCGTCTTCTCGACTCTTCCCCGCCAGCGATTGAAACAGCCGACCTGGGCAAGCGTCGCAGCCGACAGCCGGAGATGAAGGTAGCGGCTCATCAGAACGAGCATCACACACGAAGGCAGAAGCCTCACTTCCCGAGCTGGGCGTGGGCACAGCGTCGCAGCCGTCCTGTGGGAGGTCCCCAGCCCAGCGGTGTCGGTGTCGGCATGGCGGTCCTGGGCCACTTGCCCACACTCAGTTCCCGAGAGCCAGCCGCTGCCTCGCGCTGCCTCACGTGCACACCCGGAGGCTGAGCTCCCCCACGGGACTGAGCGTGGAGCTCACTGAACACCGAGGGGACACTGGGTGACACGCAACGGCCGTCCTGCTCCCAGCCCCTTCCCCCACCGCACTCAGAACATGGGGCGGAGGCCTGGATGAGACTCAGGGTCCGCAGAGGAGGGGCTCCGTCACAGGCCAGCCCGGGGGCCCACCCAAGCACCCCCAGGGCTGCAGCAAGGGGCAGGGGAGTCACAGGCCAGAGGGTCCCGGCCTCTCTGGAGGCAGGAAAACTGAGGCTTGCTTCGTCGTCAATAAAGCCACTTCTGATCCCCTCCTGCGGACTGGCTGCAGGCAGTGAGGACGGGACAGCGACCTGCCGCCTTCCCTTCGCTGCAGCCAAGTCAGGGTCAGTCCAGAGACCCGGAGAGGAAGAACAGGGAGACTCAGACCCCGAGAATCTCGGAGGGGGGCCTTAACTGCAACACACGTGCACACATGCACACACACCCACAACCGCTCACACATGCACGCACATACACACACATGCACACACACTGCGTGCTCACACGCATACACACTCATGCACACATGGACAGTCACACACACATACGCGCGCACATGCACAACACACACATATGCACGCAGGGACACACATTCGTATACACGTCCACACATACATGCACAGACACACATGCACGCCTGGACATGCACATGTACACACATGCACACGTGTGCAGACACACGTACGAGCACACACATTCACATAACACATGCACACAGACACAATTCCCTCTAGACCGCTGGTTTTCGATCTTTTCCCAACTATAACCCCTATCCAACTTGTTTCCTTCCCGTGGGGTCCTCTCCCCTTACTGGTCCCACGTGTGCCTCCCCTCCTGCCCCTTTTACGTCAGGGGTTCCTCCCGGCTCCTCACTCAGGAATCACTCTTGGCGGTGCTTGGGGATCCATATGAGATGCCGGGAATTGAACCCAGGTCGGCCACGTGCAAGGCAAACGCCCTACCCGCTGTGCTACCACTCCAGCCCCCCTGGGTCTTCATTTAAGCCACTTTTCACCATGGCCTCTTGGGAATATCCTGGGGGCCCAGAGAGGGGAGCATCATCCAGCCTCGGGGGAATGCTCTCTCAGCCACAACCGGCCCATGAAATCCCCAGAGGTCGCCCCAAACCACACATTCCAGAGCCCACCCCAAGAACTGGAACCCTTGGGGCTGGAGTCCAGCAGGGAGGGCGTTTGCCTTGCACGCGGCCAACCCAGGTTCAATTCCCAGCATCCCATAGGGTACCCCAGCACCACCAGGAGTCATTCCTAAGTGCATGAGCCAGGAGTGACCCCTGTGCACCGCCGGGTATGACCCAAACAACGGGAAAAAAAAAGAACTGGAACCCAGCCAGGAGCCAAGTCTGCGTTTGGGCGGCTGCGAAAGAGATCAGAGCCCGGCCCTTAACGGCGCTGCCAGGCATGAGACAGACGTGAGCTGTGTATCTTACGGTGATGCAACTAAAAAGTATAAAAAAACAAACACTGTCCTCCCATTCGTTGTTCATCAATTTTCTTGAGCAGGCCCAGTAACGTCTTCATTTTTTTTTTGTAGGAGTACTGCTATTTATTCAGCCACTGATTAGCTGATTGAATTGTGCATGAACTCCACCTTACTTTTTTTTTCATTTTTTATAATTTTATTTATTGAATCACCGTGAGAGCAGTTACAAAGCTTTCGTGTCTAAGTCTTGGTCATACAATGAAACACCCGTGCCTTCACCAGTGCCCATTCTCCACCCCCAACAACCCCAGTAAACCCCCAACCCACACCCTCCCCCTAACTGTGGGGCAGATGATTTCCACATTACTCTCTCTCTACTTTGAACACATTCAATATTTTGATACCAGACCCACCATTATTATTTGGGTATTTACCCCAACACTCAGATCTGCTGAAAAGGCAACAACAGACAATTTATGTTCTATTGCTGGTTATGAATAACATATGATGTCGCGTGGCTACAGTAGTGGCCGCGAATTTTGAAGTTCCGAAATTTTAACACTTAAATCTGGAGGGATTTCTGCCAAAAGTCACTGGGTTTTGAGATCTGCTCCTGAGTCTCTGGGATCATGGACGTTGAGCAGCTTGATGAGGAGCCAGAGAGGTCGTTCGTGGGCGATGACTTGGGGTCTCATTGGGGTGGGACAGGCCCCGCTCCCCCCCATCCAGTGAGGCCCAACAAGTTTCGTCACTGCGGGCCCAAGCCTGACTGTCCAGTGGCCTCTGGAGGATGACAGCCACCGAGCCGCCAGAAGGAAACAGGCGGAGGGACAGCACCCTTTCCCCCCTGGGGTGGCCTGGCAACAGTAACCTACTGCGGGGTCCGGAAACATTTCTGCCAAAAGCCGCTGGGTTTCGAAATTTGTTTCTGAGTCTCTGGGATCAAGGCCGTTAAGCAGCTTGATCAGGAGCCAGAGAGGCCGTTCGTGGGCGATGACTCAGGGTCTCGTTGGGGTGGGGAGGACAAGTCCGGCTCCACCCCCATCCCGTGAGGCCCTGTGTGTCTCATCACTGAGGGCCCAAATGTGACTATCCAGTGGCCTCTGAAGGATGGTGGCCACTGGGCCGCCAGTGGGAACAGGCCAAGGCACAAAACCTATTCCCACCTGGGTTGGCCCAGCACCGGTAGCCTACTGCAGGGACCGGACACATTTCTACCTAAAGCCACTGGGTTCCGAGATTCGTTTCTGAGTCTCTGGGATCATGGCCGTTAAGCAGTTCAATCAGGAACCAGAGAGAGAGGGGCCATGCCTCCAATTATACAGCTGAGCCGGAGTTGGTTTGTGGGTGTGTTTCCCATATACCTAACTTTTGGCTGTCTACTTTCTTGGTAAACTTTGCCCCAAGTTTTTGGGGTCTGGCCAAAGGCACAGCAGCAATTTTGGGGTATCTGGAAGTCTGAAGGTGCCATCAGGCTGCTGATGCACTCGCCTCACAGGTACAGATTGACCTGCTGGCGGCACCATACCCCAGAACGTCTTCATTTTGAGACTTGTTGTTACTGTGTTTGGCATATCAAATACATCACAGGTAGCTTGTCAGGCTTTGCCGTGCGGGCGAGATACTCTCCAAGAGGGGTGGAGGAATCGAACCCGGCTTGGCCGGGCTGCCTGTGCGCAAGGGAAATGCCCTACTGCTGTTATCGCTATAAATAAATATAAAAGAAACACACACACACACACAAAAGGAGGGGCAGGGCTCTGTGTGGGGCTACACAATGGAGCACACGCCTTGGAGGCCCACAGTTCGATCCCAGGACTGGAAGTTGAGGGGAGATACATCTGGGGGTACAGTTATAGTTGCCACACGGTACCCCAAGCTCTGCCTTGCCTGTGGCTGACCAGGGTTCAATGCCTGGCACCGGGTATGGTACCCTCAGCACCGCCAGGAGTGACCCCGAACACAGAAGCAGCACTAAGTCCTGAGTATTGATGGTGTGACCCAAAAATAAGAAAGAAGAAAAGGAAAGAAAAGAAAGGGAGGGAGAAAGCAAAAAAGAAAAAGAACGAAAGAAAGGAAGGAAGGAAGAAAGGAAAGAAGGAAGGAAGGAAGGAAGGAAGGAGGGAGGGAGGGAGGAAGGGAGGGAGGGAGGGAGGGAGGAAGGAAGGAAGGAAGGAAGGAAGGAAGGAAGGAAAAGGGAGGGAAGGAAGGAAGGAAGGAAGGAAGGAAGGAAGGAAGGAAAAGGGAGGGAGGAAAGAAAGAAAGAAAGAAAGAAAGAAAGAAAGAAAGAGGGGCTGGAGCAATAGCACTGCGGGTAGGGCGTTTGCCTTGCGCACAGCCGACCCGGGTTCGATTCCCAGCATCCCATATGGTCCCCTGAGCACCGCCAGGAGTGATTCCTGAGTGCAGAGCCAGGAGTAAATCCCTGTGCATTGCCGGGTATGACCCAAAAAGCTAAAAAGAGAGAGAGAGAGAAAGGTAGGAAGGAAGGTAAGAAAGGAAGAAGGACGGAAGAAAGGATGGAAGGAAGGAAGGAAGGAAGGAAGGAAGGAAGGGAGGGAGGGAGGGAGGAAGGGAGGGAGGGAGGGAGGGAGGAATAAATCACAGCTGGTGACTTCGAATCAGGTGGAAAGCAGAATCCCAGATACTGAGCCCAAACCATTGGCCCCGAATGCTGTATGGAACCACCTCTCGTCTGCCAGGAGCGGGCCACCCCAAGCCTCCCACGGCCGCCACACAAAGGAACACACACAAGGCAGGAACACACAGAGACCCCAGTGGAAATCCAATTGCATTTATTTCTCTTACACAGAATCAGCGGAGTCAAAACCAGCCTCAAACAGCAGGGCAGATGGTCTGGTGGGGCTGACGGGAGTCCCCTCTCCAAACACACACACACACACACACACACACACACACACACACACACACACACACACGCCTGGTGACAGGATGGAGAGGGGCGTTTGTCTGAGTTAACTGCAGCAGAGTGTTAGGGAAACAAACGGTCTCGGTCCACTCCCGTTCTCCCGGCTCCCTTTCCCCTCAGAACAGCGTATGCATTTCTCGTTAGGGTCCACATCCAGGAACAACTTTCTCGTGAGAACGAACAAACATGCTAGTTCACTGCCCCTGCTCTCCAGCGCCTTCCGCAGAGAGCTCCTCCCTACTCCGTGCAGGCGATTCTCTGTCTTGTGCAATCAGTACATACAAGGCCATCTCACACCCTAAGTACTACAGTGAAACGCTAACCAGGACTTAGCTTGTACAGAATTGCAAATAGGTACAAACAGGCAATGTATTCGAGAAAAAGTACTTTATCAGGGAGGGGGAATAAAACCTTCAATGACAGGTTTCTGAAACTATTATTAATTAATTAATTAATTTAAAGTTTGGGACCTACCCCAGCAATGCCCAGGGCTTACTCCTAGCTCAGTGCCAGGGATCACACCTGGCAGGGCTGGAGGACCATCGGTGATGTCGGGGCATTCAACCTGGGTCGGTCACGTGCAAAGCAGGTGCCCCCCCCAGACTCCCGTCTCTCCAGATCTAAAATCATTTAAATTTTTCATAGGCATTTTAAATAAGAAAAAAAGAATGGATAAAATAGTGAAACTGGCTGATTTCAAACTAAAAAGATGAACTCTTCAGGCAGTTGCTCTATAACAAGAAATATAAGATAAATAGCACCTTATTAAGATTTCTGCAGGGGTTTTAATACTTCCAATAAACCTTTCAAAAAGTTTTTTATTTTCTACTTAAAATTTCTAACTTTAGTGTTTGTTAACAAAGGCCATTGTTTATGACCCTGAAAACAAACAATTTACTTTGTCTATTAGTAAACACTTTCTCAGGATCCACATTTTATCATGGAAAAAATATTTGTTATATTCATTAATAAATGTGCCAACTAATTTCACTAAAATTTTTTTCTACTGTTTTCTAATGCCACAGCTTACTAGGAAATTATAAAAAAAAATCAAAAATACAAATCATTCAGGTTTTAACTATTTAAAAAAAGGGGATAGCTGTTTCTCTTACCTTTAATAACCTGAAAACAAATCTATAAAAATATCTTTTTAAAAATACAGTAACACTGCTCAGTTGTTAGGTCTTGTTGCTGTTGTTTTGTGTTTCCTTTTTTTCTCTTTCTTTAGAAAGAACCAGAAAGAACGCATTGGTTCTTTGGACTGTTCCTTGTTTTGTGAAAAGTTTTGCGGCTTTCTGCAATGATGACTAACCAAAGAGAAAAAGAAACAGTGCTCTCTCCAATGCAGTAGTGACAGACACGTCTATCACCCCCACTTCTCCCGGAGCACTGAGGGAGCCCGGGGACCACGAGCATCTCTGGGCGGAGGGGGAGACCCCAGCTGACGGATGCTCTTGCCCGATTCCCGCTCAGCATCCACGCTGGGGGTCCTGCACCCCCTCCCTCCCCCATAAAGTGCACTGAAGCGCTTTCCTCCCCGCCGGGCCTGGCTCCCCCTTTCAGCTCGTCTTGCTTTGGGGCCCTTGTGGCACCACCCACGTCCCTTCTCCTCACCTCCGGCCCTCCCACTCGCCTCCACCTCAGCCCTCCACACTTGCCTCTTCCCCACCCTCCCGAGGATCCTGTGCCTGTCCCTCCTCGGGACCTGCCCTCGGATCCCCCCACCCCGGAAGCCGGACCCTCAAGGAACGGAGAGTTTCCTCCCGGAGACCTGAAGGATGCCATCCCAAAGAGCTAGGAGATTCAGAGATCGTAAATAACGTCAGTTCCAACTGTGAAACGCTCAGGACTTCATCGGCAATGCAGGCGGGCTGCAGGCCCAGGACCCCGGGGGGGGGGGGGGGGGGGTTTCCCTCTCAGTCCTTTCAAAGTTAATTTTTTTAATGTGTTTTTTGGGGTTTTTTTTGGTTACATAAGAGGTATTGAATAATAATAGATCATGCCTTTGTATACCAATGGCAGCAAAGGGAGTTAGCAGAATATTCGGAGGAATCGGTTTGGCTGACTTCAGACGCCCGGGCAGGCGTTTTCACACCCGTCAGACATCGGCTTCATCCTTCACACATTCTCCTAGTGGAGATGACGTTTGCCGCGTTTGAGATCTCGGAAGCAAACCCGGCCAGGTTTCCAGGGTTTCGAGAAGCAAAGGTGAAAGCCGTGCGCAGAAGGCAGAAAGAGCTGCTGCCCTCACTCACAGAATCGTTCCCCCAGACAAGACCCAGCACTTCCCCGGTGGGCAACAAAGAAAAAAACCCAAACTCGGCAGCCCTGTGTCTGCGGCAAAATGATCGTGCCGAAATCTCCCATCCTAAGAGGTGGTCCGTTAAAGATCCAACTTGCCCTTTGTAAGAATTTGGTGGGGGGGAGGCTCGGAGAGGGTCCCCAAAAGGGTCTCTTTCCGGAGTTCTGTGGCACTGGGTGATGGACCCAGACACTCCCTCTCCCCTCCTACTGGGGAGGAGAGAAGTAAACTCTGTAGTAAAATTATTTAAAAAAAAATCTTGATAGAACGCCGTGTGCCTGGGCAGAAACAGAACGACCATCACCAGGACCGGCCGGCCGCCCAGGCCTCAACTACACTGCATTCCCTAGAGCAGAATCGCGCCATCCGCACAGAGGTTTTGTTCTTTGTTTTCTTGGGTTTTTAAAAGCTCAAGTTCAATATGTTTCAAAGCGTTTGGTACTAAACTGTCACCAAGAGCTTCTGGATAACCAGTGGGTCTAGGGTCATGTTCATTCCCTGGACAGAGCCCCTGCCCCTCACGCTCCCTTGGGGAATCAGGTGAGTTCTGACCAACTGGGCTCTGATCGATTCCACTACGATCCAGGAAGCTAAATCCCGGGGGTGCAGAGAGCTAAACAGGACATGGCTTTGATGGACCAGCCGCGCCTCACCAGCCTGGGTGCACGGGTTTGCAGACTAAGGGAAGACCAAGGTCTGTTCACGATTAGCTGAAGAGACTGTCCCTCAGGGCCACCGCGGGCAGAGGCAGGAGCAGGAGGCAGGGGGGCAAGGGGGGGGGGGTGGTCCGCTCTGCTCCAGGTGGGTCCCATGGCCCAGGGAGCGGGCGCAGCTTACAGCCAGGTGAGAAATGGTTCGCTTTTGTTCAGAGCCGACTCCACGTCGTTGAAGAGCGGGATCAGATCTTCGGATTCCAGGGTGCCGAGGTCCACGTTCGTGCCCGGGAGACAGTCAAGAAAGTCAGGGAAGCGGTTCTGCTGTGGGTTCATGCTCATGGCCGTCTGGCCTGCGGTTTCTCCTAGGAAAGCAGCCGAGGAGCCCACATCAGCGACTGGTTTGGTTCGGGGAGAAAGCTCCCCGTGGGGTGCGTGGGAGCTGTTAGGAGAGTGTCAGGGAGAGCTTGAACTCAGGGCTCCTGGGGAAGCACCCATGAACGCAGACCTCCCTGGGCCCTTGGGTGTGAGCTGCCGGGGGCGTGTGCGGAGGGACGGTGGCGGCTATTCCTGGGGGCGGTGGAGGAGCAGAGGCGGGCTGGAACCCCGGCTGGTGGCTCCCAGGGCAGGCTCCTTAACTCGGGGGCTCTCTCTCCAGCCCCTCGCTGGGTTTTCTCTGGTTAAAGGTCTCCGAGATACAGGCCAAGGGTTCGCCTGACTAGCTTTGATCCTCCCAGTCAGGGCTAAAAGTGAAACCCCCACAACGGCAGGTTGCAAACATTCCATTCTGCAAAATTTCAGCCACTACCAATGGAGGTAAGAGTAAGGGTCCCGAGTAAGAGCTGCAGAGATGCCCAGAGACTCTGAAATGTCTCTGGGCAGCCCGGGTCCAACACCGTGGCCAGAAGGGGCTGGAGGAAGCACCTGCGTCTGACCCGTGGGCTACTCCCCCCAGGACAGGGTCAGAGCACTGGAAACAACTGACCCAGGACAGGGTTTCTCTATTTCCTGGGGCTCTCCCATTCCTGATAATTCCCCATTTGTTTTCAGTGTTGGGGCCACACCCAGCAGTCCCTGGGGACCATGTGGTCTCAGGGATGGAACGGGGTCTTCCGTGTCAACTCAGCCAGCTTGCTCTCTCGCTCTCTCTCTGTAAGAGTGTGTGTGTGTGTGTGTGTGTGTGTGTGTGTGTGTCTGTCTGTCTGTCTGTCTGTCTGTCTCTGTGTGTCTGTCTCTCTCGGTAACTCCTAAAAGACATGATGGGGAACTGGCGGCCAGTGCAGCAGGTAGGGTGCTTGCCTTGCACATGGTGGACCTGGGTTTGACACCGGCACCTCCCGTGGCCCCGAGCCCCACCAGGCATGATCCCTGAGTGCAGAGCCAGGAGTTAGCCCTGAGCACCACCGGCTGTGGCCCCAGACCACAAAGGTGCCAGGGCCACACAATCATTCCAGGAGGAGGACCCAGCTCTCGCCTGGCCCGGGGGCCCCCTCCTCGCCCTCCCTCATGGCTCGAGACCGGTTCCGTGCATCTGAGCAGGCCGCACCCAGCTTCCCTGCCCGCACGCCCCCACCCTCCGGCCCGGGGAGCCCCAGAAAGGCTTCACAGGACCCAGTGCACACGGCCAGGGGGACACCTGCTTTGTCCAGGCTGGCCCTGAGCCCTACCTCTGGCCCTGTCCGTCCTGCACTGGACCCTGTGACTGCTGATGTCCCCAAACGGTACCTGCCAACGTGCTTCAGGGACTCCAGCCAGTCCCGCACATCCCAAGGAGAAGGGGCTGGTGGGCGGCAGGTGCCACCAGCGAAGGGGGGCCAGGCGGGCGCGACTCCAGGGTGACCCACCGAGGGCAGGGCGGGGCAAAGAGCGGGGGGGAGGGGCCTCCCAGCCAGCTCGGAGGGCCCGCTCCCCCCGCACCCCCTCGGACCATCCCCCTCCAAAACTAAAGCCAGCGACTCCGAGAGTACCGTGCCTACCATGCCTATCTGGCAACCCGGGAGTCCAAAGGAGCCGAGAGAGGCTCAGGGTGGCACCCACCTGTGTCCATCTCGTCCACGTTGCTGAGGAAGTCCTCGGGGGTGGCGGGCACGCTGTAGCAGCCCAGGCCCAGGCCGCTGTCCGCGCTCTGCTCCCGAGAGTGGTAGGCACCCCTGCAGAGGCGAGAGGGACACGTTCAACACGGGCCATCGAGGCAATGTCCCGCGCAAGGACAGAGGCAGGAGACGGGGGGGGGGGGGGGGGGGGCACCCAAAGGGACCAGGACAGGGAGTGCAGAATCAAAGTGAAGTCACAGAGCAGATGAATCTGCTGGGTTGTGCTGGGTTGAAAACCAAGGAACACCTCAATTCGGACTGCACGTGACCAGGAGCAGAAGGGGGTGGAGGGGAGGGGCCCCAGGGGTCGGGGCTTGGGGGTGGGTCGGTGTGAAGCAGTGTGAATCCGGACCCCTAAAGCAGAAACAGCACTGTGAACCCATGCTCCTGCAACCAATAAAAAGGTATACAATCCAGGGGCCAGGAAGAGCGTTTGCCTTGCACACAGCCAACCCGGGTTCGATCCCCGGCATCCCATATGTCCCCTGAGCACTGCCAGGAAAAAGCAAAAAAAAAAAGAAAAAAGAAAAAGTACAATTCATGCAGAAGAAGTGAAAGGCAGCTACGGAAACTGGCCCACACAGCAATGTCCCTGCACCAGCGCCACGGGACACGGAGATTCCAAAACCCACTCCCTGATGGGAGAAAGGACGGTATCTACACCGTGAAACTGAGCTGCATAGGAATCAGCACGGATTCACCTTCACCTCCAAGGAACACTCAGGACAAGCCCCTGGGCGCAGAAGGAAAAGCACCTGAAATAAGATGGGCTAGCGCTAGGATGCACCCGCTAAATTAAGAGGTTATGAGGGTGAAAGGCGTCAAACAGCCCCCGTGGCTCCATGGCTCCACTGCAGAGGGACCAGGGAAAGGGCATGCTTGGGGGAGCCGGGGGTGGGTTTAATTATTAGCTGTGATAATGAGTGGAGGCAGCCAGTTAGATTGGGGGTTTGTGGCAAGTGTGGGGGCCAAGACACAGGCAAGCCTTAAGTCATTGGGGGGACACAACACGCTTAAAATCAGTAACGAAAACACTCCTTTGTGCCAGCATTCTGGTGACTGTGGATTTTCCTCGACTTCTCTCTTGTAACGACCTTCGTCACTGTGCGTGTGTGAGGCAAAGCCTCTGCAAGGGCAGAAAAGGCCCTGGAAAGCACCTTCTCCCCAAGACAGGAGTGACAGGACAGCGGGGAGGGCGTCTGCCCTGCACTCGGCCGACCCGGGTTCGATTCCCAGCATCCCATAGGGTCCCCTGAGCACCACCAGGAGTGATTCCTGAGTGCAGAGCCAGGAGTAAACCCTCAGCATCGCCGGGTGTGACCCAAAAAGAAAAAAAGAATGAAAGGCCCTGGAAAGCGTCTTCTCCCCTGATTTTGGGTTAAAAAGAGTACGAGGGCAACGAGTCCATCTAGTTAAAGGATCCTTTCCTCGCACTTCTAGCTCATCATTTTAAAATTCCACTTCTCTGCAGCAGAGTTCCTAGGCACCCAGCCCTTCGCTTGCCCTGCTAACATCACACCTAGCCACAGTTTGATCCTCACACCCAGGAAACTGAGTAACGCCATGAACTCAACTACAGACCCCCCCCCCCCCCGCCCCCATTTCCCTGGAAACACTGTCTCCGAATTGTTCGCTTCTCTGGTTGCCGTAACACACTTGAACAGGGGGCCTCTGCATGTACCGCCGGTGGATCACACTCGGGTGTGGTTTAACTAACACACATCCCAGCACTAGTGTCAATGTGTTAATCTCCCGATAGGCGCCTAGGACCGAGATTCTTCGAACACGACACAATGAGATGTTGAAATAATAAGCCCGTTCCCATTTTCAAACGGCTGACCAGTGGGTTCACTCCATGTCCTGTTACCAATTTTAAGAAGTTAGTCAACAATGGAGTCACCTGAGTCAAAGCCACTTGTTAGGATTCAGGGGTTTCGCCTTACATGGAGCTTCCTCTCTACTCACACATGCTGCCCTCCAAACCACACCCCTCACTGGACAGAGGTCCCCACTGAAAAGAAAAAGGAGACCCACTTCCCCAACTTCCTGATTCTCTGCCACCCCCTCTAGCCGCACCCCAACCCCCAGCCCTCCGATGCGTCCACTTACCCGTTGAGGAAAGGATCGGAGCTGTTGTTGGTGATGGATCTCATGTCGGGGGTCATGGCCGGAGGGCTGACAATGGTCTGCACTGTGGCCAACGTCTCGGGCTCCATGGGCAGCTGCCTGCAGAGAGCCGCCTCCTGAGGAGAGAGGAGCGGGGACAGGCCCTGGTGACACGCCCCCTCATACAGGACTGGAGCAAAGCACGCTCCACGCGACAACTCTTTACCAAGCCAAGAACCGTGAAGGACAAGAGTTGGTGGATTTCTTCCTCTCTGGAACCCTCAGAGGCTGAAGCCACGGAGCACCCACCCCAGCCATCGCAATGGTTCAAGTGGATCTCAAGGCCCTTTCTCAGAGACCAGGTACACAGGTTCAAGCTAGGTGCATCGGAGGGGCTGACCCCGGCTCCCTCGGGTCTATTGTGCCCTTGGCCCCAGCCAGGGAGAGAGTTCAGTATCTCACTGAATCACGCTTCTGATTACATGCCAACTTCCAGGAGAGCTAAACCACTCAGTCATCAAGTTTGTGGTTTGTGTTTGTTTTCTTGTTGACCTTTTTAAAGTATTATTATTAGTGAAACACCATGAGGTACAACTATAGACTTACAAACTTTCGTGCTTGGGTTTCAGTTATACAATGATCGAGTACCCATCCCTCCACCAGTGCCCATTCACCACCACTGATCCCAGTAGCCCTCCCATGCCCCACTCCAATCCCCCCACCCTGCCACCTTTGTGGCAGGGCATTCCCTTTTGCTCTCTCTTTCACTTAGGGTGTTGTGGTCCACGCGAATTCTCCAAACATCCGTTACTTGGTGTTCCCTTCTCTATCTGTGCTGCCTTATCATGTGCTGCTGGCTTCCAAGCCATGGAGCAGACCTCCTGCTACTTATCTCAACTATTCTTGGGTGTTCGTCTCCCATTCTGTTACTTTATATTCCCCAGATGAGTGCAGTCTTTCTATGTCTGTCCCTCTCTTTCTGGCTCATTTCACTTAGCATGACACTTTCCATGTAGAACCACTTGTATGTAAATTTCATGACTTCGTCTTTTCTGACAGCTGCATAGTATTCCATTGTGTAGATGTACCAAAGTTTCTTTAACCAGTCATATTTTCTCGGGCACTTGGGATTTTTCTAAATTTTGGCTATTGTGAACAGTGCAGCAATGTACATAGAAGTGCGGATGTCATTTTGACCGTACTCTTTTGCCTCTTGGGATATATTCCCAGGAGTGGTATTGCTGGGTCAAATGGGAGCTCAATTTCTAATTTTTGGAGAATCGTCCATACTGTTTTCCAAAAGGGCTGAACCAGTCGGCATTCCCACCAGCAGTGAAGCAGGGTAGTTGACCCACTTTCTGCTGACTCGGACGGCAGCAGGCTGGGAGTGGCACAAATCCGATGCAAGCACCACTTGAGAATCAACGTGCAGGGAAAAAAAGACACCCTGGCCATCCTCTGTCCAAAGCCAGAACCTTTGCCAAGTCCCCACCCCCAGAGCTATAAACAGAGTGACTGAAGAGATTTTCTCCAGGTGTGACCTCCAGGAACTCGTTTTGGGGTTCCAGCGCAGCTACTCATATGCCCTAGACTGAAGAACAGTCCGTCTCTATTCGGGGAAGCCCATCCTCTTCGACTGAGCGCACAGCTTTGGGAGGGACACACGTGGAGCGGTGAGGGAGGAAGGGGACACCCGTCTCACCAGCCAGATCAGCTGAATCAACCCTGGCGATCAATGGGGTGACAGGTGTTGCAGCCAGATCGCCCTCACATCCTGGAGCGATAGCACAGAGGATAGGGCGTTTGCCTTGCGTGCGGCTGACCTGGGTTCGATTCCTCCGCCCCTCTCAGAGAGCCAGGCAAGCTACCAAGAGTATCCCGCCCACACGGCAGAGCCTGGCAAGCTCCCCGTGATGTATTTGATATGCCAAAAACAGTAACAAGTCTCATAATGGACACATTACTGGTGCCTGCTTGAGCAAATTGATGATCAATGGGAGGACAGTGCTACAGTGCTACAGTCACCTCCAGGAAGTCCTGCCATTCTGACACATGAGGCCAGACCCCTAATCTCTCTGCTCGGGAGAGAGATTTTTCCCGAGTGTGTTGGTGCTGGTGTCCAGCCCGAAGCAAGCTCCTTCCCAGAGCCAAGAGGTCCGGCTTCCCACCTTCCAGGCTGACGTCACTGGTCTTCGGAATCCCCAAACCAACCCCCCAAGTCATGACTTCCCCTGCGAACAGAACTCTCGGGCTCTCATCACAGGATCTCTGCTATGTGGCTCCAGTGCTGGCATGCTGTGCTTTGAGAGAGTCTAGACAAGTCCCGGTGAAGTCATCAGCTATGAAAACGCGGGTTCCTAGGCTTCACTGTGCTGCTTGGGAAGCTCGGCTCCTATAAAGCGCCAAGACCTGATAAGACTCGCAGCTAACAAAGACCCAAAATAAACACCACAGCGGCAAAGAGTACCTGCTCGAAGTCTGCTCACCCAGGCCCTGGGTGATCAGAAGACTTAACCCAATCAAGTTTAGCAAGTCTTAAGATGCGACCCAGGGTTAGTTCCCAGAAACTAGGAGTTTGGAGCAGCCCTGAACACTGCCTGGAGTGGCTCCCAAACCTCCCAAAATAAAGTGAGGTCATTTTTTTTTCACGCTTTGGGTCACACCCGGCGATGCTCAGGGTTTACTCCTGGCTCTGCACTCAGGAGTGACTCCTGGCAGTGCTTGGGAGATCATATGGGATGCTGGGAATAGAACCCGGGTTAGCTGCGTGCAAGGCATTTGCCCTACCTGCTTGTGCTATCACTCCAGCCCCATGAGGTCAATTTTTAAAAAATAAGCGAAGGAGCTGGAGCGAGAGCACAGTGGGTAGGGCGTTTACCTTGCAATGCAGCCGATGATGCAGCTGGGTTCGAGTCCCAGCATCCCATATGGTCCCCCAAGCACCACCTGGAGTGATTCCTGAGTGCAGAGCCAGGAGTAACCCTTGTGCATCACTGGGTGTGACCTAAAAAGCAAAACTACTACTACTACTACTAATAATAATAATAATAAAAATAATGATTGAAAAAAAACAAAATTTAAAGGTTCATTTTGGGAAGATTATTGGCTAAAATATAAAATACATATATTTCACTATATAGTGATACCAATTGTTGCTTGTAATGACATACACAAGGAGAGAAAAAATGTTTCTGAGATCACCAGAAACTAGATATGAAATGTAGAGTTCTGAACACTTTCCTCATTGACCTTACTCCCGGCATACTGCAAAAAGACACAACATAGATTTTTGTTCTGAAACACGTGTGGCTAAAAACATACTTTTCGTATGAGAGCAAAACTGCTCTTCTACTGGGAAAGCGGGTCGCTGCAACTTCCCTCGCTCTGCTCCCTCCGTTTTAAGCTAAGGAGACCCCTGGTGACCCCCGCCCTCTGCCCCTTCTGAAGACTGGATGCCCCTCACGCCAGGAGCAATGCCACGTTTGGTCCGAAGGGGGCGTGCAAGACCAGTTTTTCTGTTCAAATGTCACGTGAAAGACTACAGGACACAGGACGTGTGTTTGCGGGACCTCGAACCACTCTGAAGGGTAAATTAGACTCTCTTGTAGTCTATTATTTTACGTTTGTCTGTTTGCTGGGGGGACGGGGGAGGTCTGGCCACGCCGGCCTTGCTCTGGGTCATTCCTTCCCGAGCGCAGTGGGAGAGCGGCCTGCAGGGGGCGGCGCCGAGCTCCAGCCCCCCTGACCCCCTGCCCGCTCGCGCCCCCTGCAAGGGCTTTCCCGGCTGCTTCGCTCCACCCTCGGGACCACCCGGGAGCCGCCTTCGCGCAGCTAGGGCAACTGAGGCCCGGGGCACGCCGCCGCCTCTCCCGGGACCTGGCCCGGGCGTCCGTTCTTGGGCAGCGGGAGGAGCCGGAGGGGCCGGACATCGCCTGACCTGCTCTCCCTGACCTTTCTCTCCTGCGGGCGGTGGGCCTGGGCTCCGTTTCTCCTCTTTCTGTTCATCAGTCAGGGCCGGTGCGCCCCCAGCTTTGAAGAGGAAAGCGCAGCCGCCCTCTAGCTGGCTCTGCCCTCTGCCCCCTCCCCTCCCCCCGTGCCCACCCTCCTCCTCCGCTCACTACCCCTCCCCTCCCCCACTCACCTTCCCCCCCCCACTCTCCACTTCTCCCCCTTCCCCTTCTTCCCTGACCACTCGCTCCCTCCTCCACTCACCTCCCCGCCCCTCCCCTCCTCTGCCTCAACTTGACTTTCTCTCTCTTCCCAAGCCGGGGGTGGAGAGACTGTCGTAAAAGAGGGGCTTGGCGATCTCTGGCAGAGTCTGTGGTCACCCCTGAGCGCCCCTGGACCGAGTCATTAGAATCACAGTCCTCGGGCAGAAAGGAGTCCGGAGACCCAGGCCTGGGACGGAGAAACGCTGATTTGCACGTGGATTCTGCAAGCGAAGCGCCACACTCCCCCCGGCCTGCAGCCGGCCAAGGAACTGATTCCCAGAGGGTGACCACTCCGCCTTGTGGCCCTGGCCGTGACCCTGGCCGTGACCCCGGCCCGGGGGAGTCGTGGCTGGGCCCCATTTCAGGGAGAAACCAGCGACAGCCTCTTCTGCGGGACGAGGTGTGTGGGCTGGACCCACACCCAGGGAAAGTGGGATTGTTTTAATTACAGAGGGTGGGGCAAGCAGAAACAGAGGGAGAGAGGGAGAGAGAGAAAGACAGAATTTAAAAATGCTGACATTAAAATAGTCATTTGCGGATGGAGCCACTCGCCTAGTCTGCCAAAACCTGGAGGGTCTCGGAGCCCAAATGCTGGTTTATTTATTTAGGTCCTCGGAGCGGGGAGGGGAAGCCCACGTCAGCTGCCTTTGAACTCTGTGCCAAGGGATTCTGATTCCTGCTCAGGTGGCCGGGAGCCTCAGTCTGAAGGGGCTCATCTCCTGTGCAGCTGCCTGGAGGCTGCGGGGGGGGGGGGGGGGGGGCGGGAAGCCGGAGAGGACCCTTGGGGGAGATGCTGGGAGCCCTAATTAGCACGCGAGGTCCCTCGGGACGTCTCTCTTGAGCCTCTGCTCTCCTGTCATCTCTGTTGTCCCTTCCCAGCACAAAAGGAGACGCTGTAATCGACCTCTTCCCGCTGCGACCCCCAA